TACCCCCACCCCTTCTCTTTTGTTCATCAGCTCTTTTCCTCCGTCTATTTTTTACACGCAGTGGACCAACAGCATCCACCGGCCTAGGTTGCACGAGTTCGGCGGTTTGGTGCCGCCTCCCGCTCCGGAAGCGACGCAGGGACGGATTCGCCGGCGGGTACAGCGACCGGAAAACCGGATCCGTCTGCATATAAATAACTTTTTTTGGCAAGAAATAGAAAATAAAAATGAGGTGTGATCAATTCCATGCGACCGGCGAAGAATCGAAGGAGGTTGGAAGAAGATGAAGATGAAAAAACTTGAAACAGATCTTTTATTTTCCCCAAAATCCTTCAAAGATCTGATTTAGACTTCTCAGATCTGGATCGAATCTGAAGAGGGAGGATGAAGAGTAAGAAAAAATAGGTGGATGAACTAAAACACATGGGGATGGAGAAGAAAAGAGAGGAGAATATGGAAAGAAGATGATGAAGACGAAGAAAGAGGGACGAAGAAGAAAATAGAAGAAAGAGAAAAAAAAGGTGAAGAAGATGTGGCGAGAGGAAGAAGAAAAAGAAAGGAAAGAGGGTGGATGGGTAGGGGTAATTAAGTATTTTTGGTATCAAAAAGTTTTCAAAAAAGGAAACACGAACATTATTTATGGACGGACTAAAAAGGAAAGTACGAAGATTAAAAATGGACGGAGTCATTCTCATGTGATCCAGCCCATATAAATATAAATATATATATATATATATATATATATATATATATATATATATATATATATATATATATATATATATATATATAGTAGTATCACACCCGTGCGTTGCACGGGTCATAGTTATGGTACTAACTTAAGATTATTTTTAGGAATATAAATTGGTACATAATGGAATATAATATAGAGATTTCATTATTTAAAGTACAAAAGTAAAATGATTTACAAACTTCGAAAGACTTCTTTATAAACTACATCACTCGTATGTATAATTTGTGTGAGCATTCACTTCGTTGTATATTAGAATCTTCAAGCCATTGCAATTTATTACTCTTTAAACTGTAACATACACTTTCTCATGACTAAATACCAGTTTCCGTAACAATAATTCAACATGTTTCAGATATTGTTCTTGATAATAATTCAATAATTTGACTTATCTAAGTAATAATTCAACATATATATTCATGTATTTATTTTGGAATTTGTATTTTTTAATTTTATTTTCATATTTAAGTGGTACCATTAACTTACTCGATGGTATTTATTTTCTATTTTATTTTAGATCACTTACTATTTTTACACGTATCCATGCTTGTAAATTATAGTATTAATAGTATTTATTTTAGAATATTTATACCATTATTACATTTTTCCATCCTTATAGTATTAATAGTATTAATTTATAATTTTTTAATTTTTGCATTTAAATGGCACCATTTGCTTAATGTACCATATTTATTTTTTAATTTATTTTATAAGACTTACCATTTTTACACGTTACCATGCTTGTAAATTGTAGTATAAATTGATAGTATTATTTTGTAGTTTTCTATTTTATTTTTTTTATGTAAATGGTATCATTTACTTACCGTACTGTATTTACTTTCCAATATATTTTAGAATACTTATTGTTTTAATAATTATTTTATTTTCTAATTTATTTAGAACACTTACCTAATTTATTTTAGAACACTTACCATTTATTTTATTTTGTATTTGAATGGTACCATTTGTTGATCGTGGTGACATGTCATCCCGTATTTATTTTCTAATTCTCTAATTTGAACACTTACCTTTTAAAAAAAATCATGTTTTTAAAGTATAGTATTAATATTAATTTAGCAGTTTTTTATTTTATTTTCGTATTTAAATCGTACTAATTACTTACCAAACCACATTATTTTCTAATTTATTTTAGAACACTTATCATTTTTATATGTACCCCCCTAATATATTTTAAAATTTTAAAATATCGTGTATTAATACTGTGTATTAATACCATGTATTAGTACCGCGTATTAAATAAGAATAATAATGGAAAGTTTAGAATTTAATTTCGTTAATGTAAACATTATTAATTAATTAAAATTAAAACTCTCTAACTCTCGTTTGCTGAACACTCGTGTATACCGTGTATTATTGTTCAATAGTACCGTGTATTGATACTGTGTATTAATATATGGAAACTTTTATTACCTATTACCTATTTCAATACCGTGTTTTATTACCGTTTTAATAATAACAAAATTACAAAGTTTTATTACATATTACCTAATTACCTATTACCTAATATATTTTATTTTAAAATTTTAAAACACCGTGTATTAATACCGTGTATTAATACCATGTATTAGTACCGCGTATTAAATAAGTATAATAATGGAAAGTTTAGAATACAATTTCGTGTATTTTTTACTATTTAAAAATATAAACACGGTTCTTTCCTTTTTAACATTCCTTATTAATATCATTTATATTATTTAATAGTACCTATTACAATACCGTGTTTTATTACCTTTTTAATAATAATAAAATTACGAAGTTAATAATAAAATTACGAAGTTTTAATACCTATTACCTAATTAGCTAATATATTTTAAAATTTTAAAATACTGTGTATTAATACCATGTATTAGTACCTCTTATTAAATAAGAATAATAGTCATTATTTTTGTGTTATCCTAGCCTACAATCATAGTCATTATTTTTGTGTTATCCGCTTAACCAATATCAGAACACGTCATTAGACATAATGTTGATGTCAAATTATATTTTTAGCCTTTAAATTAACACCAACACGGCAGAAGATAAAAAAAAAAGGACCATTTGTGGAAAGGTACCCTTAAAAAAAGGACTACGGGGATAATATTTGATAATAGAGGACTAAATATGGGAACCCTCCTGTTATAAAGGACCAATTATGGAATTTACTCTAATGGAAAGTTTAGAATTTAATTTCGTTAATGTAAACATGATGCTTTCCTTATTAACATTCTTTATTAATACCATTTATATTATTCAATAGTAAAAATTTGTGTTGCCTTTTATGAATTATACCTAATTCATGAAATTTTCAATAATAATAAAATTACAAAGTTTTATTACCTAATATATTTTAAAATTTTAAAATAGCAGCACGGTGCCATGCTATTAAATAAAACTAAAATTACAAAGTTTTAAATAAGAATATTAATACTGTGTATTAATACCATGTATTAGTACCTCTTATTAAATAAGTATAATAATGGAAAGTAAAATATAATTTCGTGAATGTAAACATGGTGCTTTCCTTATTAACATTCCTTATTAATACCGTTTATATTATTCAATAGTAAAAATTTGTGTTGCCTTTTATGAATTATACCTAATTCATGAAATTTTCAATAATAATAAAATTACAAAGTTTTATTACCTAATATATTTTAAAATTTTAAAATAGTAGCACGGTGCCATGCTATTAAATAAAAATAAAATTACAAAGTTTTAAATAAGAATATTAATACTGTGTATTAATACCATGTATTAGTACCGCGTATTAAATAAATATAATAATGGAAAGTTTAGAATATAATTTCGTGAATGTAAACCTGGTGCTTTCTTTATTAACATTCCTTATTAATATCGTTTATATTATTCAATAGTAAAAATTTGTGTTGCCTTTTATGAGTTCTACCTAATTCATGAAATTTTCTATAATAATAAAATTACAAAGTTTTATTACCTAATATATTTTCAAATTTTAAAATAGCAGCACAATGCCATGCTACTAAATATTAAATAAAAATAAAATTAATAAATTTTAAATAAGAATATTAATACTGCGTATTAAATAAGAATAATAATGGAAAGTTTGGAATATAATTTCGTGTATTCATATAGATTGAAGAATGTAAACACGGTTCTATACACGTTTAGCATTTAACACATACAATATCAAAAATAAAAGCATTTAATACTTACCAATTTTATGAGCATATTCCTTATGTAATGGCCATCAGCATTGGGCGGGAAAAGACCAATGGAAATTCATGTCTTTTTAAATTATATATATATATATATATATATATATATATATATATATATATATATATATATATATATATATATATATATATATATATATATATATATATATAT